ATGGGAATATTGCATCTGAGGCTCCTCACGTTGCTGCTCTGTCGACAACAAGTTCAGGTGTCATCGAGGAGTGTACATCTCAAGACGACGACGCCTGCATCTACGAGGACTCCAACAGCACCGCGAGTGAGGCGCCCCTACAAATTGACGAAGACACCAGCCCCAGTGACATAAGCCAGGACAGTGGAGACGTCTTTGTACCATCCTGGCTCAAAAACCCGGACACCGAACGCCACCGGATAACTACTCGTGACTTAGAAGCCCCCACCAGAGACAGAAGTCCCCTGCGGACTTCGACGCGATCCCGGAAGCCCCGAGCCTCTGGTGGATCGCCTGGCCGGATAAAATGACTTAGCCACTTGTGGGACATTGGCTCCCGCACCTGATAAAGGTACCCCTGCATTTACGTGATCCTATACTATGTTTTCATTTTCCCCATGGCTCTTACTCTAAAAATTATTACTTTTAACGTTCAAGGTTTCCGAAATCCACAAAAACAGGCTGAGGTATTGGCTTTTGCACGTTCAGTGCACTGTGATTTGCTGTTCGTGCAAAAAACAAATTTTTTCGAGCTTTCTGATGTACTCGCTTTCACGCGCGCGTTCAATTTTGATTGTTTCTTTTCGTACGCCAGCACGCTTTCGACTGGTGTCGGAGTCGCTATTTTTAACCAAGGTCTTTTACGTGACCATCATGTTTCCTTCGATGCCTTCGGACGCGCGCTGGCGTTCGACTGCACCTTTTTCTCGTTAAGAATAAGGTTTGTTGCCGTGTATGCCCCAGCAGCACGCGAGAACTCAAACGCGTTCTTCCAATCTCTTGATGCGTTTCTTTTAAATTCCAGACATGTGGTACTTTTAGGGGATTTCAATTGTGTCTTAGACTCACACGCAGACGTTCGAGGTCAGGGTCGCGGCCGGTCAAACTGGAATGCCAGAGAACTCGAACGTCTAGTGCAGCAATTGGCATTGAGTGACATTCATCAAACTGTGCATGGCAGTAATTATGCACATACTTGGCGTCGAGCAGCGTCGAGCAGCCGAATTGATCGCGTGTATGCATCCCGAGTCTAATTACCTACGTTCACGACACCGGGGTAATGTCATTGCCACCGACACCAGTATACATTAGCGACCATCGGCCGGTTATGTTCTCTCTCCGCCTGCCAGCGGGGACGCCAACGGTTCACAGACCATTGCGTCTGGATTGCCGCGTCCTCCAAGACTCTCAGGCTACGGAGAAATTATCCCGAGGGTTACGCGCATCGCTCATTGGGGCCGATGTAGCTGATTGGGATCGCCTCAAAAATCAGTGGCGGCATCATTGCAGTGCGTCGGGCAGAGGACTTTGCACCCGTATGTCGAAAGATGCGTCATGTTAATCCAGAAAATAGATCCCAGTCCTTCCACTGTAATGCGGGCATGGCAAGAGGAGCTCGTTGAACGGTACCAGCGTATTATGCGCGCTTCTTCACTCTCGGCTGCAGCTTGGCGCTGTAGACGTGCACCCTGTGCGCACCCTGAGGTGCTAAGGTATGCACGCAGAGCTCTGCTTTGTCCACCAGGCTCGCCTGCCCACTCACTGAACTCTATCACCCCAGCTGCTGCGGGTACGTGCGACTTTCAGGAATTGACTCAACACTTTGAGTCAATGGGTAAATCTGGTGCTAATGTCTGTTACCCAGGATCCGTTTCTTCGCATCCTCTGCTAACAGATTTACCTCATGATTCCAACATGTCAAATGACGTCCTCCTATCATCGCCATCCGATGACGAAATCAAAGGCACATTAGACGCAATGAAAAAGGGATTGGCCCCAGGGCCTGACGGGCTCCTGCAGAGTTTTATGTACAGTTCTGGCCTATCATTGGTCCAACTATGTCACGCGTCATTCGCAAGTGTTTCCAAGATATTACACTTCCAACTTCTTTCCACAAAGGCCGTATAACACTAGTTCCCAAGAAAGACCCAATGTCCTGCCGACCAGAAGATTGGCGCCCTATTACCCTGCTCAATGTAGATTACAAGCTCTTGGCTAACATTTTGGTGCGCCGAATAAGTCCATTTCTTGCAACATTAATCGCTCCCCACCAGGTCTGTTCTGTTCCGGGCCGAGAAATACACACCCATACGTGGTTAACGCGTGACATCATTCAATACACCATTAGCCGATGTGCGCAAGGACTGTTGGTTTCATTAGATCAAGAGAAAGCTTTTGATTTCATAGAACATGGCTACATACTAAATGTTTTACATGCATACGGATTCCCGGATAAGTTCATTGACCTTATCAACGCAATGTACACTAATTTAGAAAGTACCCTTTACTTAGATTCCCGTGAGAGTCACGCATTTAGAGTCACGCGGGGGGTACGTCAAGGGTGTCCCTTCTCCCCAGTGTATTTATCCTTGCATTAGAGTCCTTCTTAAGGGCCGTTGAACATCACCCGCAGATTCGTGGCTTACCTCTACCCGGTAACACTCAAGTAAAGGTCGCTGCATATGCAGATGATATCTTTCTATATGTACCTAATGAACAGTCGCTGCAGCATGCTCTTGATACATTCCATGATTTCGGTATTATCTCCGGTGCAAAGTTAAACTTTTCTAAAAGCCAGTATTTTTCATTGGCAACCCCAGCAGTCGTATCAACATCACGTCGCCTTTACAGTAGTCTCCTGAGATTTCAATTCTCGGAGTTACTTTCACTGTATTTGGTATACAGGATAGCATCTGGTCATCCGTTGTACAAACTCTTCTAAATGATATCAAAGCAGCCAGGAACTTCGAATTCCCCCTCTTGGAACGCCGATACTTAACTCAAACGGTGTACCTAGGAAAATTTTGGTACCTTTGCCATTCTGTTAAACCACCGCTTCACGTCTGCAGGAAAGTGCACAGCTGCATCAGTTCATTTTTTTTGGTCTGGTGGCACAGAATTGTTATCGCGTCCAGCCTTAGCGCAACCGCGAGATCAAGGCGGTTTTGCATTCCCTGACGTTTCCGTCGCGGCTTCTACAATGTGCCTCCGCACTCTATTGCGAATACTAAGCAATGATGACATGCCCGCTCAGACACTGGCTCGCTACCATCTGGGGCCATCACTACGTGTCTTCTTGCCGGATAGCCAAATAAACAAAGGTCCCCAATCAACTGAATTACCATCTTTGTATCGAGCCCTTCTGGCATTTCACCGACGGTTGGAAGCTACGTGCCCAGGGATAGAGGTGGCCGATTCTAAAGTGGTGGACACAATGGCCGCCCTTCTACGGCCCTTAGTGCCCCAGCATCGTCAATCTGTATTGAACCGCGCTCGGAAACCAATAACTGCCGCAGTGTTGCCAGGGCATCTCAGAGACTTTGTCTGGAGGTTGGGCTGGGGCTTACTCCCCACGCGAGGATCGGTTGCAGCGATGGCAGGTAGTTCGCACTTCCACTTGCCCCACTGCGTCATGTAGGAAACCAATCGACATGCGTCGTTTGAATGTGTGGTTTCCCGCCTCTTTTGGCGTGCGGTTAATGCTGGTTTTTCGGAGAACAGGGTGTGCGAACTTTCGTGTCCAACGGCCGATTTCCGCGTAGCCGCTTCTCCGCTCTCTTAATATTTGCGGGGCTGGTCAGCCTTTGGAGAAAACCGATGTGAGGCCGTAGCTGCCAATTGCCGCCGGCGTGCTTTGTGGCCCGATACTGGGAAATGAGACGAGAGATCCTCGTGTTCCTCTCCGAAGAGCTTTCTTCCTCGGGGAGGCAGAGTTTCTGCAGCATTGGTCGTGCCCTTTCGTCAAGGTGGAACAGGAAAGGATACAACTCATTTTTCGACCGACTTAGTGCTAAGCAGCGCCCGTTGAGTTGTTATATATGATTTCATCGGTTACAAATTGTGTTTCATTGGATCTATTGTATCGTTATACCCTTGTATCGTGATATCACATTGAATTTTGGTTGTACATGTATGCCAACATAATCATGTATATTAGAGCAAATGTCTTCACTGTAACGTAGTGATGTTAGTCGTGAAATAGATGTGCCGAAGTGTATGTGTCCTGCTACTGGGAATGGTATGAAGCTTTTGTGTTCTGTACATGCTGTAAATAAACTTTTTCTAAACAGGAACCGCAGCGTTTTCTCAGCGGCGTTGTTAGCGGGGCGGTTCAATGCTCTTCCGTAGTATAGTACGAAGTACTTCAAATCGTTAAACATTTTTCTAAAACAGATCAGCAGCTGGAAATGCACGGCGAAGAGGCTATCCTTCGTCGATGGCACACACGTTCCTTCAGAGTAAGAGAGGGACAGCCGGAGTTTCAGTTGTTCTCTACTAGTCGTGTGCCCAACCATTGTACGCATATACACGTGGTATTCTGTAATATGTGATTAACTTTGATTCATTTTAATTTTCCTTAAACTTGTAAACATTTGGATACCCAGTGATCAATTAAATTTTGGTGCTCATTTCTAATATGTATACACTATCTTTACTAGATTTGATGTTTCGTTTGTGTATGCACTAGTTGTGTAAAATAAACTTCCCTTTCTCAATATATTTGCCCGTTCGTTGTGCATACAGCCAGCGGAGTTCCTGTTTGTATACTCCGGTAGTCGCTTACGGTATTGTAGTGTAGTCAAGCTTGTTTAGGTGCATGTATTATTCACGCTCATGTCACACCCCGCAATATTACCCGAAGTTGTTTCGTGATGAGACATTAATTTACCAGCATTAACAATAGAGAAATAATATCGCAAAAGAAGCATGGTAGTACCAGTTACAAAATTTTCTTAAAACCATTGAAAGTTACTGCTTATGGCTGTTAACGGCTAGGGTAGTACAGTAACAGGTAGTACGGCAAAGGTAATAGCTGTTACCACCCTCGTCGTTACTACCTGTACTTACTAACAGGGTTGTAATATATATGCGACAAACCATTACTACCACAAAGGCAGCCCGTACTGCTACCCTTTTCTAAGAGTGCATCACATTGTTGTATGCGACTCTTGTTTGCGCAGGGCTCCCGCTACATCCACGTCCAGCAAGAAGGCCGCTTTGAGCGATGGCGCTGCTACTTCTCCGAAGGGACAGGTGCAACTCAAGGCGCCGGAGGTCGCGCCGAAGAGGCGTCGAAAAAAAGTGACACCGAATGTGGCATCGAAGTAGCGTCGAAAGAGGCACTGACTACAGCGAGCACGGTGGCGGGCGAGGAAACCGAAGCGAATGACGCAACAACCGCGACCACTGCCGCGTCGCTTAGGGTATCCCAAAAGCCGACGTCACCATCCCGTAAGCCAGCTGCTTTTGCAACTAAATACCTTGAGATCGGGACCTCCCGCAGCGCGTCTTGATGCGTTCGTTATCTAGGCAAGTAACATACAACGATGCCGGGAAAGAATACATGAAAAGTAATGTTAAGTTGTACAGAAATCATTGACGCTGAAATTGAGATTGGTTCTTAAAGGAATTGGTTCTTAACCGCGCATCTGTTAAAACTGGAGATGAGACCGTTGATGTCGGCACTCAAGTCGGCATGTGCCACAGAAATCGTGTATGTGCCATGCAGCTTCTAAGGTAAGACAGGCGTGCGTAATGTATAACAAAGGAAAAGAGAAGTGAGAGTGGGAGTGATGTCAGGGCGTGTAGAAAAGAAAAAAAGAGGGAAAATGGTAAAGCGGGAATGTGCCAACCAGCTCCTATAGCACAGCATGAATTATCCATGCAACCATAATATTGTTACGTGAGTAACGAGACAAAGTATTGCGAATATATTCGAAAAATATATTTGCAAGAGCGGTTGCAGCACTGGCCAGTCTGGCTCCGAGCTCGAGCAGCCAGCGAGCCTCCTCTTCTTCGTCGGGCGCACACGCGCATTCGCACTATGGTTTGTGGCAGCCTACAGGTAGCATATAACCCCCGTCGGCAAAGGCGCCGTCTCGGCGCATCTAGATGTCAAGATCATTGGGCGAGTGGTACTGCTTCAGGCGTGCGACGTGTACGATGTCGCTGGCCCTAGGGGTGGATGAAGACGGCGAGGCAGCAGGAGTGATTTCATAAGTGACGGGAGTCACCTCACGAAGCACTCTGTAGGGCCCTGTGTACCGAGAGAGCAGCTTGTCAGACAGGCCAACGTGCCTGGTCGGAGACCACAGCAGAACCAACGAACCGGGCGAAAAGTGCACATCGCGGTGTCGTTGGTCGTACCGACGCCGTTGGTTTGCTTGGGAGGTCAGAAGGCGAGCACGAGCGGTTCGCGTGCGTGGGCGGCCCGGCTGATGGCGTCCAGAGCATATTGTGAAGTTGGAGCTGCTGGTAACGGAATCGTCGTATCGAGGGGTAATGTGGGTTCGCGGCCGAACAGCAAGAAAAAAGGGGAGTAACCAGCCGTGTCGTGGCGCGAAGATTGTAGGCAAATGTCACGTATGGTAAAGCGATGTCCCAGTCAGAGTGATCTGAGGAAACGTACTTTGCAAGCATGTCAGTTAGGGTTCGGTTCAGGCGTTCTGTGAGGCCATTTGTTTGCGGATGGTACGACGTAGTGAGCTTGTGGCGTGTTGCACAAGAGCGTAGAATGTCCGCTATGACTTTCGATAGAAATGTGCGGCCTCGGTCCGTGAGCAGCTGGCGTGGAGCACCATGTTGCAAGATCACGTCGTGTAGAAGAAAATCGGCGACGTCAGTGGCGCAACTTGTTGGAAGGGCGCGTGTGATTGCGTAGCGTGTGGCGTAGTCTGTGGCCACAGCTATCCACCTGTTGCCAGCAGAAGACAGAGGAAAAGGGCCGAGTAAGTCCAAGCCGACGCGAAAGAAAGGTTCAGTAGAAATATCGAGTGGTTGAAGGCGCGCAGCCGGAAGCGTCGATGGTGTTTTGCGGCGCTGACATTCCTCACACGCCGCGACGTATCTTCTGACGGACCGTGCCAGACCTGGCCAATAGAAGCGACGGCGAATCCGGTCGTATGTGCGGGACACACCCAGGTGACCGGCAGTAGGAACGTCATGAAGTTCGTGGAGTACAGCCAAGCGGAGGTGTTTGGGTATGGCAAGCAGCAGAGATGGGCCGTCTGGATGGAAGTTATGCCGGTATAATGTGCCATTCTGGAGTACGAACGAGCGATAGGATCGGTTCGATGGGAGGAGTCGAGGCGCTCAATGATAGCTCGTAGGGCTGCATCACGGCGTTGCTCGTCGGCTATGTGGTTCAGTTGAGAAACGGAGCACACGCAGGCGTCGTTGTCAGGTATGGTGGCCGATGGGTCAACTGGATAGCGAGAAAGGCAATCGGCGTCCTGGTGCAGGCGTCCAGACTTGTATATCACAGAAAAGGTGTATTCTTGCAGTCGCAGAGCCCAGCGACCAAGTCGACCTGTAGGATCTCTTAAGGATGAAAGCCAGCAGAGCGCGTGGTGTCGGTGACGACGGAAAAGTGAGTGCCATATAAATATGGACGGAATTTTGAGACCGCCCAGACAAGAGCAAGGCATTCTCGCTCTGTGATCGAATAGTTACGCTCTGCAGGTGTAAGGAGGCGGCTAGCATACGCGATAACGCGGTCGTGTCCCTGTTGGCATTGGGCGAGAACGGCTCCGATACCGTGACCACTGGCATCAGTTCGGACCTCAGTTCGGGCAGATGGGTCAAAGTGGGCGAGGATAGGGGGCGTCGTCAAAAGTGTTATGAGGTGAGAGAAGGCGGCAGCTTGAGTGGACCCCCACGAAAATGGAACGCCTTTCTTCAAAAGATCGGTAAGTGGTTGGGCGATTGCCGCAAAATCTTTCACGAACCGCCTAAAGTAGGAGCCTACAGCCTACAGGTAGCAATATGGTAAAGCAAGGGGTGGAAAAGGGAAGTGAAGGTGACGAATGATGATGAGGTGAGGAAGATTGATAGCAGGTTATGTATGCATAGTGTTGTGACCGGCGCCAGAGCTGACAGGGGAGCGGCGCTGTTTTAATCCTCAATCACGTAGCCGACCGGCGGGCTGCCTATGCCCACCAGGCATTGTCCCTGCTAGCCCGAGGGTAAGACGTCGTGTCGCCACGACGCCGTTAACCGTTCGAGAGAGGACAACAAAAGAGCACCTTCCTTGGAAGAGACCGTGGTGGCCGCCGCAAATAGCCCCGCTAATTAAGTGAACAAATCGGCGGACCCTTTCATGTATGCTGTCAGGAGCTTGGTACCTCTCGACTAGCGGCACACACACGACGAGGAAGAGCCCCGCTGGGGCCACCTTGCAGTGCATTGATCACGACTCAATATTAGACGTTCACGTGGACTGTGCATGCTCTTCCCCCTCACCTGATGTGTGTGTGTTGATGATTGATATGTGGGGTTTAACGTCCCAAAACCACTGATGATTATGAGAGACGCCGTAGTGGAGGGCTCCGGAAATTTCGACCACCTGGGGTTCTTTAACGTGCACCCAAATCTGAGTACACGGGCCTACAACATTTCCGCCTCCATCGGAAATGCAGCCGCCGCAGCCGGGATTCGAACCCGCAACCTGTGATGTGTGTGTGTGATTGGTGTTCCACTCAAAAAGGAGGAGCCCGACAGTGCTTGAAACGACGCCACAGAGGGCTGGACGTCACTCTGAACTATGTAACGGTTCAGCCACCACGCTCGTGGTTTGTGAAACCACTAACCTTTCTTTGCTTTAAATAAGTATAAATAGTGCCATAAACCTGTTTCTTTTTCGTATCCTCTTGTCAGCGTTCATTTCCTCCACCCGGTTACACCACGCTACCACAAGTGACCGGGTAGACCCCCATTCGCAACAACTGGTGGCAGCGGTGGGATGCCATCAGCTACTTCCTCCTTCCAACCCATAACAATAGTCATGTATTCGTAGCATTGTCATGTATTCAGTAAATAATTGCAATATTATTGGGGGACGCTGCACAGACTGGTACGTTGCTATTACAGGAACATTTCCAACCTGCCACGCCTTAAGCGGGTCGGGATAGGCGAGACATCGAACAACTCAGCTGCATGCATGAAATCGTAAAGAAATCTCCCATGTGTCGACGCTTTACTTTTTATGTGACCGCAATTTAGGGGAAGCTATCTTGCAAGAGAGGATTTCTGTGCTTGATTTACGAGATATGTGTCAACGCCGTACGCGCTCTTGCTGTGCCGGCAAAATTTCGTGGCAGCACAGCCGCCAAGCGCTCACCATTTAAAAAACACAAGGATTGGTATTTTTCTTGGCTCGTCTTAGAAGGGCCGTACAAGGGCAGATAGCCAGATCATTAAAATGGCCGAAGGGTGGCATACATGCCTCCCTTTGGTAGGCTTCGATCGCGCACAAACGATTTCTTCGCTGGCACTGCAACACTTCTTGAGCATGGTCAGAAAATGCTGCCGATTGGTAGTAGAGGCTCCCGACAACACACGAACCAAATATTATAGCGCAGTACGCCGTCTAGAATTCACAAAAAATTATCAGTCACCAAAAATGCTTTCTCTTCTGTCAACAAATCACGGAATAAGCCCAAAAATCACTCGTAGTCAGCCCATTTATCAGCTATTGGCTGATTTGAACACGGCACGCTCGGTCGTTGCAGACATCGACGCGGGAGAACGCTACTTGTCCACGCGTGCGCGCGCAATCACACTCAAAACCCGCGCATTCAAAAAAAAAAAAAGGGGGGGGGGGGAAGAGTGCTTAAGGTCCGGAGGTGCGCGGGACGGTTTTTGTTAGCCCCTCATACCTCCCTGCTTAGCTTCCAGTGCTTTTGTCGGGACGAGTGAGGATGCGATGGCAGCGTGTGACAAATCTTTATAACTCCACTCGTACCGGACATATCCTTAAAATTTTGCGGCGTCGAATTTTTGAGGCAATATGCTTTTCCAGTGAAAAAATTTCGTGGGTACTCAAAAAAGTGTTTCATGGTCCCTTTAAAAAGTAACCTGCAAACAGAACAAAAGCCAATTGCGCAGATTATTTTTTCCCTTCCATTATTCTTCAATAGCTTTTCCCGTAAAGGCTTTCCTTGGTTTTATTCGAGAACAGCTCGCGCCTTGTTATCGCAGCCACGTATTCTCACCGATGCACCTGCATTCACTACTGCTAGCAGCTGCTTTCCGGGAGCTTTTTGAATTAGAGGACGAGGTTGAACATCTTGGATTTTTAAACGCAATCGCTCAATAACATGATTTACAACTGCACCTGAAAGTGAAACAAAAGACCAACCTTCACATATAATATTTAGGCACAAATGCCAACATAGGGAATATTAAACATGATACCAACAATATAAAAGTCCTTTTTAACGATATAATTCATACTCATATGTCAAAGGACCGCGATAGGAGCATTACGAACAAAATTAAATTTTGCCCTAAGTGCGGTCTCTAGATATTACCATAACTAAATTATAGGGTACGCGAATTGCACCCAGAATCCATGTATAGCGTAAGTGCCTCAAGCGAATTCACTACGTCGTGGTTCGTAACCATAAGCTGCTGTAAGTTAAAAGCGTTCGACTCAACGCAAACTGGAAGCAAATTTGCTTGAGCTTACAGAGTTATAGATATGCATTTGAGCCACTCCGGACTCTGTTGTTTTCTTTTTTTTGCGCAGGTCAGGCGTCTGCGCCACCAAAGCTGGTACCCACAGTGCCCGACCACCATGCCGCCTCACCGAATCATTGCACTCCCGAGGATTGCTCCCCGAAACATCCTGGTGGTCCGTCCGATAAGCACTCACCGAAACAGGAGGCGACACCGAGCAGCCCATCACCGCCTAGGCAGTTCCCCTTCTCAACCGAGACCCTGGGCTGCCTCGTATTCTTGACCCTAGCCGTCATCATCGCCATGGTGTTCGCTACCGTTTACTACCTAACGGAAAGCAAGAACTCAACGGCAGCTGCAATAAAGGCAGCACCCGAGTTGGCGAATGCCTGCGCTGACAACAATTCCCACGCGGGATGTCATATTGTTACCCTGTGTGCAATGGATGAATTAACACTCTTGCAAGTTTTCAGATGCGCAGCAGCTCTTTGATTAGCCTGTGTAACGCTGTCCCTCCGTCCGCCCCGCTCCCCTCATGTAGGTTTTGGAGTGGTGCCAAGTTTTGGAGTAGTGTCCTATTAGCAGTGGGTGTTGACGTCTCTCTTCTCTCTACTCTCTCTAGCTCGCCGCGTGTCAGCTCTCTCTCTATAGTGGCACCTTTCTAGCCACTAACTTCCTCGCTTCACCCTATCCGCCGCTCGCAACGCTCGAGCCTATTCCTCACGTGGGCATCATCTCATCCGCGCCACCTCTCTCCATCTGTCTGTGAGAAGAAGCCATGAGCCCGTGGGTGCGCGTGCTGCGCGTGCCTTGACGATCTCACGGCGCCGACACTAGCAAGTTCTAGAATAACGTTTGCAGGTTCTGCGGGCGTCGCCAGCATTGTGGGTGCCATACTGGTTTTGGAATAGCGTTTCCCCTCCTGCAAACCACAACGCACGATCGCAGCGACACCGTAGCCTCGAAACCAGCGTTTGCTGGCCCCATGCGGCCCCCACTCGCAGCCGCTATTTCAGATTTCCTGCGGGCGAACGCGAATGGCGACTCACGTTACGACGCATGTTCAGAGGCAGTTACCGCACTACAAGGGCTCGCGGTGCGCTATTATGAAACTCCCTAATGTGGATAGCGCGCCGCTGCTCGCCGCGCGATCGCGCCGATGGGCCGGACGCCATTGCGGCATGCTTCCCGCTAGTGTGCGCGTACGTTTCCCGGCTGTCGCCAGTGTTGCGAGGGTTAGTGAAGCCGATCGCGTTCGCGAATGGTGACGGCAACACCGATTAGGCGTGAGCCAGGGAAGCCGAGCGCAAGCGTCGGCAGTGGAAGACCAGCGACACCGACGAGGTGCGAGTCAAGAACACCTACCGTGTTCGAGAATAAAGACAGTGCGAGGGTAACACCGACAAGATGCGAGACAAGGAAGCGAAGCGCAAGCTTCTTCAACGCGTCCCGCCTCCCGTGTTTTTGCGTTTCAAACAAACGTTCACTCGACTAAACGCTACACCGAGTTTCGCTCAAAACCGTTCTTTCCGCACAAACGTTCACGCCAGTTTCAACCAGATCGACGTCATGCGCAGAGCTGCGGCTTCGCATCCTGTCGAAATTCCCTGCGGGAAGATGGTCCATAGTTTTCGCTAAAAGCGCGTGAGTGGACACCACGGGAGATTGCGGCCGCTGCATTACGAGATCTGCTGTGAAGTGACCAGAACTACGGTACAATACACAAGCGGCGAAAGCAGATTCAAATGCGGACACTGTCTGCTACGCTGTTTGCTTAGAGACGAACAAAAGCTTGGAGCACTGTTTTTATGATAATGTGCTCGGAAGACTCACGTAAACGTGATCCACGTATCGCCGATTGGGGGCATCTCGCTGATATTCGAAGGCAGTGTAACCCATGGCTGACGCTTTCGCAGTATAACCAACAACGTCACCGAGAAATTCATTCTCGTCACGTCGACGTGTTGTACGCACACTTGTAGATGATGAAATAGCGGTTACCAATTTTAAGAAGGTGGCATTTAAGCGGCTCGGCTTGCACATTCAACGATCCCATGTGGTGTGGTCAGGTACCCAGTGAAGTGTTTCATAGTGAGCTAAAACAAACTTTTCAATGCTTAAAACCGGGTAAAATAAACTAACAAAATCTAAACTACTATACCTAAAAATAGGCTAAAACTAGTTGCTATAATTACCATAAGTTGGCTGAATACACTTCGCAAACAAGTGGCTAACGCTCGTGCCCTACAAGAGAGGGCATCAGTATACGCGCATGGCCTCGCCAAGCGCAATTACTTTTATTTTCTTGTCAACGAAGATTATTGCTCCTGCTTGCGTCTCTCACCGGCTATTCTCCGGTGCTTTTTCGCTCCACCTGAAGGCAGAAACAACCCGACGAAATTGACTTACACAACACGTATCTCAACTGACGTAACAAGCAGGATCTCAGTAAAACCCGGCGCAAAGTAGCGTGAAAGCTGAACGCCGAGTCATTGAATGCACTTAACGTGGCTATGCCCGTGAAAAAAAAAAGCTCGCATGCTTCCACAAATATTGACGTTATCGCATGTTTTGATAAACGCAGCTGCAGGAATCGTCCGAACAGCAACCGCTGGGGGCCCGTGCCACGCCGTTTCTCAGGTTTCATAGCAGCGGAGCTGCATTGAACGTAGGATTTAGAACTACACTTGCTACAAAAGAATGTTCGCGCCCCAAATGTAACTGTCAGCCACGTGCTATGGCGCAGTGTCGGCGCTTGTGGATTACGTTTTCGAGCCAACCTAAGACGTCAGCGTTGCGGTGGGCGATCAGAGCGCCGTTTTTTAACACGAAAGCTTTATCACGGGTTCCACCATGGCTCTGCTGAGGCACATCTGTCACCGAAGTGATATTGAAAGATGTATACTAAAAAATCGCGGAGAAAAAATGTCAGTCGCTTAGCTCAGCTATGCCAGGATATACGTAGCGTTAGCAAAGGTTCAACTGATCATTCTTCCTTCTCCATGGCTATACCACAGTGGCAAACGCCAGTAAGAGGCTCTATCAAGCGGCTCCAGCGCAGTGTCAGATGGCGACTGCACAGGGAAGGCGCGCGCGTTGGCGTCCATACGTCTACCAAGGCTATGACGGCACTCCTCTGGAAAGCGCACACCGGCGGCGGTGATCGCGCGCCCTGCAGGTCGCGGGTTCGTATCCCGGCTGCGGCGGCTGCATTTCCGATGGAGGCGGAAATGTTGTAGGCCCGTGTGCTCAGATTTGGGTGCACGGTAAAGAACCCCAGGTGGTCGAAATTTCCGGAGCCCTCCTCTACGGCGTCTCTCATAATCATATGGTGGTTTTGGGACGTTAAACCCCACATATCAATCAATGTGAGTCGCGCGCGGCCGCGGCCCGAGTGCGAGGGAGGTGCCGGCTCCGGTGCGTGACACCACTGATCATCTTCGCAGCGCATCGAATTGCGCGCACACCGGTGGCGAGCCGCGCGCGGTGGTGGCGGATTATCATGGCGCATGCGCAGACCAGTGCCACGCGAAATTGGCTCAGCGAGGCCAGTGTAGCTAATGCTACAAAAAAGACAGGAGGCAAAAGTTTGTCGCAGGAATCGAACCAGCAGCCTCTCGATTCCCAGCGCGCAGCGCTATTCACTATGTCATGGAGCGCACATTGCCAGTAATGCTAACGTCAAGCAATTTATATGCACGCTACACCGTTTGGCAGTCCTCAGAGATTCGAAACCTTATCGCATTTTCCTTATCAGTGGCGAGATAGCGCGTGTGCTCACGTTGGGTGTGCTCTAAAGGTCGTCGCCTCCATGAGGCATTGCCTCCCCGGAGCGGGGTCTTTCCGGCGCTTATCAGACTCGTCATTCCAGAGAGGCCGGCAGTCATTTATCACGCGGCCGCGGCCGCGTTTACAAAAGGAGCGCGCTGCTGAGACTAGACGCAGGAAGACTTGTAGCAGCTGTTCGCGCTTGTCTTGCATATACTTGTGCACTCGTTTTGTGCTTCTTTCTTTCTTTGAACAGCGCGCTATAAGCAACGCCGACTAAATTTCAAGGTCGAAAGGCTGCCGCAGTGACGTCAGAGGGTGGGGGCCCAGTTACGCCGCGAACGCGGCGGAAAGCCTGTGTTTCGTTCACGTTTTAGAAGAACCAACGCTCCCACTCTCGCAGCTGCTGCGGCTTGATTGGGCCGAATAAAAGATGTGGAAAAAAAGTCTTACTGAGCATGCTCAGTTGGGCAACTGGGCCGCCAACCTCTGACGTCACTGCGGCAGCCTTTCGGCCTTGAAATTTAGTCGGCGTTGGCTATAAGTGTCGAGCTGTGGCAGTTCTTGGCACGCACTCGTCCTGTGAATGTCAATTTCGTGCGCGATTTCTGCTTGAGGTGTGCGCTGGATATTTCGAGCTGCTTGCCATTCATGACGTGGCTTCAAAATTGGTTTCTGTTGCTGAAACAATGCGCAATAAACGCCAATCTACCCTTCTAAAGACACGTGTCACTTTGGGGTTATTACGATTACTATATAGGTGGATCAGCTACGTTTTCTTTAGGTGGATCAGATGTTTGAGAATTTGTTCGGTTTTTTGCTGAGGAATTAACTTTGCCGGTTAGCAAGCAGCGTTGTTTAGGAAGCAGCGTTGTTTTTATCTCCTCTAAGCTCCTTCCTTCCATCGCGTCGCGAAGGCTAATAAGCGCGGTAAACTTGGCAAGGGCTTTTCCATAGTCCTTGGCTTTTTAAAGGTTCTTGTGACACTCTGAATGCTTCTAGCTGCATTAACCACTAAAATAAGCCCGAGCAACTAGTAATTTAACATAAAGGTTTAGACTGTTCACGAGTTAAAAATACTTTATAGCACAAAGACAAAACGCTGTACTCGACAAATAACGTACAGGACAAGGCCGTACGAACAATCACATGTTAATGTGCGTTTGTCCATAGAAATTTGGAGATATTTTTGTTTTTATATTGTATGTACAGCTCTCCCAACAGACTTTTCTTGTAAATTAACCGCTCGTTTTGATAAGATTGCCGACTTTAAACTTGCATGGCCTTCTGCGACGAGATGAGCGACGAATAGCCGATGTTTAGAGAACAAAGAACCCTCTCTACTAGCCAATACTAAGAACCACGTGTAAGCCTAGAGCACTGAAATTATAATGTAAATCTGTACACTGCAATGACTGGTTGTAATCATCACTTTAGTGTCATGAAACGACAACCTTTCTTCCCGCACTTCCAATCCGCAGGTACATGTTGAACGCAATGGAATCCCTGACGCAAGACCATGCGCAGACTTCTACGACAGTGTGTGTGGGTGGTGGCGAGCGAAAAATCCCGACAGGCGTCCTTTTTCTGGAGGAATACGTCGCGACCTTTCAACCACCGCGTTTCCGGACACCCTTTTGACCAAGGCGACCTTCGACTCGAGAAACTCGAGCAGCGCACAAGCCTCGATACTCAAATGGCCTTGTTCTACGCCAGCTGCTTCAGGGGCAACCACCGGATAAAGCGAGACGAGTGACGCCTCCGCTGTTCTCGAGGCGACTGGGCAGTGATGTCCCGGCCTGGATGAATGTATCGAGCTTCGCCGAACTGCTAGATTTAGCAGTCAGCACGACCCTCAGGAGCGGCCTTCCATCTTTCGTTCGCGTAGAGTACTGGGCAAACGTGACATTCAGCCTCGGCGTAGGACAATCATTGGCGTCGACTTTTGCTCGTGACTTTCACAAGGCGAGAGTGTTTGTTGTGCGAACCCTATACGTCCTCGTATTCAGTCATCAGCGGCCTGGCCCAACTCTTCCACGCTCTTCGCCATCGACATTGTCGTCGACAACGAGCGATCGAAGGGCAACGGCAAGATGTCGCCACCGTTGAAAAGTCCCAACGATCTTGCGTATATGGCAACTGAAATTGACTGGGAAGATGGCTTAGAACGGGGACTGCCTTCCAGGTTCAGCAGTAATGGTCGGAGTCAGATGACGGTGCTGATAAGAGCCGTTCACGAAATCCGAAGCCTCGTTGGTCACCTGAAAAAACTGCCGTTACGACATGCCAGCATGTACTCCCGGATGGTCTTGCTTGCGCAGGTGGTAGCATTTTCGAATTTTTCTGTTAAGATGTGATCAAGTGTGATGCGTTGTCTGTAGCATTTCAGAAGCCATATAGCATTTCTGTAGCATTTCAGTCAGATTCTGAAGCTATAGAAGCTGGATGTATTATCATAACCCTATATTTGCATGCACATTAGGCGCACAGGATGGATTATTTCTTGTGCGCCAGATTTGAGATTCCTGAGTCCGATGAAAACACAAAAAACATTGTGAAGAAAACGTCAGGAGCTTTTTCTGGCGAAGTTCACCTATGAATAGTAGGGAATATTGATGGCTAATATATAATCACTCCACCAACATATTGTCACGGGGTCGTGACGTGGCCGGAAGACAGGGACTCTTGTTGGAATTTAACTGTTTATTGTGGGCGAACCTGTGCCCGGGTAAACAGAAAGGCCAATTACAGCAGCAGTCTCGCACAGATGACAGTCTCAAACTGATAGCGGCGAACGGAGCGTCGGCCTTCGATCAACAACTGACAAGCGGCGAAGCGCGTCGGCATTACTATACTCCCAGCCGTCGAATGTTCTAGTGCTATCGCTGGCGGCGGCGTGCGTTCCAGAACAATCTGTACCCATTCGCACAGTGGGCGTGATCTATCGAAATGATCTACTACAGGTCCGGAACCCTCTAGAAAACTGCAGGCGCGGTTTGCGCTGAGAATCGTGTGGTGTTTTGGACGATAACAAAACTTGGAAATAGGAACGTGGCATTGCCCCCCTCTGAAAAAGGCATCGTCTCGATGCTTTAACTAAAGATGAAGGTACAATAATAATGCAAGAAAGTACAATGAATAAATTACGATACAACAATAATACAACAAAAACACTGTTTCAGTTTGTTAACGCGCATGAAACGGCTTGAGGCGTGCGACATGGACGACGTCAGGTCGCGATCGGCGTCGTTGAGAGTTCGTGATGCCGTCGGGGACAACCTCGTAATCAAGTGGGCCGAGACGTCGAACCACCCTGTACGGTCCGAAGTACCTGTCGCAGAAGCTTTTCACTTAGTCCACGTCGGCGTATCGGCGTCCACACCCAAACACGTTCACCGGGCTGGTATTCCACTAAGCGTCGTCGAAGGTTGTAACGGTGGCTGTCGGTCGTCTGTTGATTCTTGATACGGAGCGCGCAAGTTGTCGGGCTTCTTCGGCGCGATGAAGGTACTCGCTCACATCGAGGTTTTCTTCGTCGGTGACGTTGGGTAACATGGCATCGAGCGTCGTTGCCGGGCTCCTTCCGTAGACCAATTTGTATGGAGATATCTGCGTCGTCCCTCTGCACCGCCGTGTTGTATGCGAAGGTCACATACGGAAGAATGGCATCCCACGTCTTGTGTTCGACATCGACGTACATTGACAGCATGTCGGCGATCGTCTTGTTAAGCCGCTCGGTGAGGCCGTTGGTCTGTGGTGGGACGCTGTCGTCCGGCGGTGGTTTGTTTGGCTGTATGCCAAGATCGCTTGAGTTAAGTCGGCAGTGAATGCCGTTCCTCTGTCGGTGATAAGGACCTCCGGGGCGCCGTGACGTAGGGACGATATTTTCGACGAAGAAACTTAGCTACCTCGGATGCACGCCTTTTGGCAGGGCTTTGTCTCGGCGTAGCGGGTGAGGTAGTCGGTGGCTACCACGATCCACTTGTTTTCCGAAAGCCGACGTCGGGAACGGCCCCAATAGGTCCATACCAATCTGCTGGAAAGGTCGCAAGGTGGATCAATTGGCTGCAGAAGTCCCGCTGGCCTTGTCGCGGTGTCTTGCGTCGCTGACAGTCCCGGCATGTCCTCACATAACGAGTGACGTCGGTTGTAAGACGTGGCCAGTAGTATCTTTCTTGTATCCTCGCGAGGTGCGAGAAACACCGAGGTGCCCTGCCGTCGGATCGTCGTGCAGGGCCTGCAGGAGTTCTGGTCGCAGAGCTGAAGGCACCACAAGGAGATACTTAGCCCGAAGCGGTGAAAAGTTTTTCTTTTGTAGAAGACTGTTTCGTAGAAAAAACGACGCAAGTGCGCGCTTGAATATCTTCGGGACTTCGGCGGTCCTGCCTTCGAGGTATTCTATTAGGGCTTTAAGTTCCGGGTCGGCCCGCTGTTGTTCAGCGAAGTCGTCGGTAGTTATCGTTCCCAAGAAGTAGTCGTCATCCGGGTCGTCGGGTGGTGGTTGGTCGACAGGCGCACGAGAGAGACAGTCGGCGTCGGAGTGTTTTTTGCCGGACTTGTAAATGACAGTAATGTCATATTCTTGAAGTCTCAGGCTCCATCGTGCGAGGCGACCTGAAGGGTCCTTCAAAGTGGCTAGCCAACACAAGGCGTGGTGGTCGCTCACAACTTTGAAGGGCCTGCCGTAGAGGTATGGGCGAAATTTGACGTAGCCCAGATGATGGCGAGGCACTCCTTTTCTGTTGTGGAATAATTTGCTTCTGCTTTGGATAGCGATCGGCTGGCGTAACTAATAACCCTTTCAAGTCCGTCAGCCCTCTGCACAAGAACGGCGCCAAGACCTACGCTGCTTGCGTCAGTATGTATTTCTGTCTCGGCGAATTCGTCGAAATGGGCAAGTAACGGAGGCGTCTGGAGGCGATGTTTAAGCTCCTGGAAAGCGTGTTCCTGTGGCGTTTCCCACTTGAACTCCACGTCGGCCTTGGTAAGGTTAGTGAGAGGATCGGCGATGCGGGCGAAGTTTTTCACGAACCGCCTATAATAGGCGCACAAACCCAGAAATCGGCGCACGGCTTTCTTGTCAGTGGGCGGCGGGAATTCGGCGATGGCGGCTGTTTTCCGTGGATCAGGACGAACTCCAGACTTGCTGATAACGTGCCCCAGAAACAAGAGCTCCTCATACGCGAATCTGCACTTTTCTGGCTTCAGTGTGAGTCCGGAAGTCTTGATGGCTTGAAGTACAGCTTCAAGGCGCCGAAGATGCTCGTCGAAACTCGAGGAAAACACGACGACGTCGTCCAAGTACACAAGGCAAGTCTGCCACTTCAATCCTGCCAGTACTGTATCCATAACGCGTTGAAAAGTTGCAGGCGCTGAGCAAAGGCCGAAGGGCATCACCTTAAACTCGAAGAGGCCGTCCGGTGTTATAAACGCCGTCTTCTCTCGGTCTCTTTCGTCGACTTCGATTTGCCAATAGCCAGTCTTGAGGTCCATTGACGAAAAGTACTTGGCGTTATGGAGCCGATCAAGTGCGTCGTCTATTCGTGGGAGAGGATACACGTCCTTTCTTGTGATTTTGTTCAGGCGGCGATAATCGACGCAGAAACGTAGGGTCCCATCCTTTTTCTTCACTAACACCACGGGGGATGCCCATGGGCTCTTGGACGGCTGGATAATATCATCCCGCAGCATTTCATCAACTTGTCTCTCGATGGCCTCACGTTCTCGCGTCGAAACCCTGTACGGACTCTGACGGAGTGGTCTGGCATTTTCTTCGGTTATGATGCGATGTTTCGTGATTGGGGTCTGCCGAATTTCGATGACGACGAAAAGCAATCTTCGTATTGCAGGAGCAGGGCCTTGAGCTGTTCTTGCTTATCGTTCGGAAGTCTGGGATTGACGTCGAAAGCTATGGGAGGGGCTTGGTTCCTCTGAGCAGGTTCCGCAGAATCGGCGAGGGTGAAAGCGCTGGTGGCTTCGACAATTTCTTCGATGTATGCGACCGTTGTTCCTTTGTTCACATGTTTGTACTCATTGCTGAAATTTGTGAGCAAAACCGTTGCTTTGCCTCCCCGCAACTCTGCAATTCCTCTTGCGACGCAAATATTTCGGGTGACCAACAGATGCTGACTGCCTTCAACGACGCCTTCGAAGTCAGGTGATTCAGGAGCGCCGACTGAAATAATGACGCTTGAGCGAGGCGGAATGGTGACTTGTTCTTCCAGCACATTCAAGGCATGGTGTCCAGACGGCGTGCGCGGCGGTAGTGCTTCTTCTGTGGATAACGTTATCGACTTTGTTTTTAGGTTGATGACAGCACCATGGAGGCATAAGAAGTCCATGCCAAGGATGACATCTCTCGAGCAACGCTGTAGGACTACGAAGTCTGTAGGATAAATACGGCCGTTAATGGTGACTCTCGCTGTGCAGATTCCTGCAGGCGTTACGAGACGACCTCCGGCTGTGCGGATTTCAGGGCCTTTCCAAGCTGTCCTAACTTTCTTTAACTTCGCGGCGAACGACCCACTGATGACAGAATAGTCGGCTCCAGTATCGACGAGAGCGGTCACACTGTGGCCGTCGATAAGAACGTCGAGGTCGCTAATTCGCCGTCTCGCATTACAGTTAGGGCGCGGCGTCGGGTCACGGCTGCGTCGGCATGTTCCGCTGCTTCCCTGTTGCGTCGTCAGGCCACCTTCGGTAAGTGAGCTTTCGCCGTCAGGGCTTTGCCTGTTTGGCGTTGTGTTCGGAAAGCTCCGTCGCGGCGTCGTCGTCGTCGGAGGATCTTCGGTAGTTCGTCGCACAGCAACCGCACCTCCACCGGTTGCTGCCCTTAGTTTCCCGGATACGGGCTAGGAGACCGGCCCCGCGTTGGGCCAGAGTACTGTCGGTGGTGCGGTGACGTGCGGCGGCTGGGCGACGGCGAACGCGAAGGGATTCGTGGTGTCCACCGAGTTCCTGTCAGGTAGTCGGCGATGTCACGTGGTCGTTCTCCTGGCTGTGGACGCGGTGCGTTGACGGCGAAGCCACGCAGTCCCATCTGTCGGTACTGGCAACGGCGGTATGTGTGTCCGGCCTCGCCGCAGTGGTAGCAGAGCGGGCGATGGTCAGGGGTGCGCCAGACGTCAGTCTTCCTCGGTGCACTGCGCTGGGCCGCTGGCGAACGGTATGACGTCGGTGGGGGTGGTGGTGGCGGTGGCGTCTGTCGACGGAAGTG